TGGAGACTGCTGCTTTACAAGGACAAATAATATCACTCATGTTCCTTATAACATGGTTTATTTTATCTCAATAATAAAGGTTTAAAAATAATAATAATAATAAAGGTTTAGGCCAATATATGTGAAAAAGAAAAAAACTGCAAATGCTTAAATAATTTATACTAAACAAATTAATATTTTTCAACATTTTTAATGATTATTTCAAGAAAAGTTAACCTGTTATGAGTTTAATAATGAACATAAATCAGGGAATAAATTCCTGCTAATGGAAACTACTGGGGAGGGATGTGTTTACTTTAGGAAATAAACTGAATGGATAAAATCTTCACACAATTTCATAGTAGTACTAAGATTATGAGGTTCATTTGGGTATTAATTGTCCAGATTGTCTGGATACAGGCAGAGCCATGGTCTGAATGATAAGGAACTTTAGGTTACTGAGTTGCTGAAGAAATTCGGTATTGTTTCCCAATAAAATTTAAGTGCCTAGGACAGTGACATTGCAAGGAGATTTTGGTCACAATTGAACAGAAAAGTAGAATTAGAAAAGACTTTGTTTAAAATTGTATAATCCCACATGGCATCTGTGAGATAATAAATTGGGAAAATGTTTTATTAACCTCTTTCTACTGCTGATTGGAGATATAATCACTGCTTTGCCAGTAATTGCCACAGAGAGCAACACTTTTTGGCTAGAAATCTTGGCTGTGTAATGGTGAAAGATTATTTTAGTTTTTTTAGTTTATTCCATCACTAGGAGATAGTGTTATTTAGTGCATATAGTGCATAAAATAGTACATATTCATGTATAAATAAAACCCAAATACTGCACATTAAATGAGCTCCCAGATATACTCCTGGGATCTTGATAAGGAGAAATCTGATACAGAGGAGTTGAAGTAAGAGATGAGAGAAGGGTAGGAGAGGGTAGAAGTCTGGGAAATGTGGGTGAATCATCTGCAGGTAGTATGAGCCTCCCAATGGAGGGAGAGAAGAGAAGGACCACCTGGACATGATAAGAGTAGTATAGATTGAAACACTAGAGAAAGGTAAGCAAATAAGTATCCATAGAGGCACACGTGCGCACGCACATACACACACATACACATGTCCACCAAAAAAATGTATGCACACTTCAGGAAAAGAAAACCTTCTATAAATATTTCAATACTGAATTTATCAAGACCTCACGAGATTAACGCAAGTTACATTTGGCCTCTAGAATTACAATCGATGTTCCAAGTGGAGGCCATTAGCTCCCAGGCATTTGTTAGTACAGTGAACTGCCACATGGGTAACCTTGGTCATTGAGATTGCTTCACATGCATCTTCAATTTCCTTGCTAGGGACTTGCAGTATGGTGAGTTTTCTGCGATTTATGACATCCTTTAGGGCCCCCCCCCATACTAAAGTAATGGCATCTGTTGAGAAAACATACTATTTTTCTCTGACTGAAGTATCTATATATCTATACATTATTTTGGCAGACTCCATATATTATAGTAATGTACCTTTTAGAGTCTGACATAGTAGCTATTTTCTCAAGAGCAGTGTTTATATCCTTGTTTTTAATGGAAAAAAGTTAAGCATTATGTCTCCGAAATGTTTTAAGGTTACGGTTTTCTAGTCATCACATAGATGATTATAGTTAAGTAGAGAAACATTTGAAAATATTTAATAGTAAAGAGAAATTACAGTATCTGTGTTACTAATGTCTTTTCTTTGACCTATTCTAGATTGGCTATTTATAATCTTTTTGCTAGTTAGCTTTTGATGTTTTTCTTCTTGATTTGTGTGGGATTCTTTCATAAGTAAAAGAACATTTGTCACACACTCCTCAGTATGTTGCTGTGCCCCTTTTTTGTGAAGTACATTGAATATCAGGCTTTTCATTTTTATATAGTTCTATTTCTTTTATTTGTAAGCTCAGGAAGTCTTGAGTGTTTTAAGGACACCTCTAACTGTGTAAAAAAACATTGAGCTCATAATCTACCTGACTAATCTTTTATTAATCCTTCACTAATCTTCTGTTCATTTCTGTTATGAAAATCTCTACCATCTTCGCAGTTCTACAGCCCAGAAAACATAAGAGTTATTCAGGACTCCCTTCTCCCTTTCTTCCTGACGTTAATCCAGCACCCATTCTTGTCACTTTACCTCTATGTGCAACTCAAGGCTGTGCAGTCTCTCTGCCTGTACCACCAGAAATTCACATCAAACTACCATCATCCCTCATCTTTATTATTTTTTTATTCATCTCCCTCATTTTTTTTCAAAATGTTACTGATAAACAGATAGCAGTGAGACAGTTTCAAATCAAATCGAAAGTACAGTTTCAACAAATAATACACCACATATATTCTTCTTAGTGTTTAATTGCTGTACAAGATGCGGACTTGAGATCCGATTTACAAACACCATTAGAACAAATCATTCTATTCATTAAGAGAATGCAACTATATATCCTAACCACTTGGAATGCAGATACAAAATGGACATTCATCGGTATACCCCATTTTTCCTAAGTTCCGTTATTGAATATTATAGGTGTGTAAACTCAGCAAAATATTCTAAAAGAGTTCAGTAGCCCATAATAGCATTGGGCCTTCTGTTTAACTGGCAATGTCAGAAATTATTGACCTGAGTCCCCCACAGCTCAACATAACAACATGGCTTTACTTCCTATATTTCGTCTTCATACTTTTCTACTGGATGGTTAAGACCAAGGTAAAGCAGGACCTGTGCAACAAGAGTTGTAGCTTTTTGGTCTGAGAAGGTCAGTGAAATGCCCTCAGGATTTATCCCGAGATCCTGTACCTCAGATTGTAGAACCTTTGTCAGTACTGCCATGTGGATGAGTCATGACCATTGCTTGGCCAATGTGCTCTCTGTGAAAGCCTGAGAGAGTGTCTTCTCCCCATGTGACTCTCCTTAGGCACACTCTACATCATCGATCACTTTCCTCTTTGGCCCCATAATCTTCTTGATCAGAAAACTTGGGACACTACCGAGGTACATGACATTACAGTACAAGTTCTCATATGTCCTGAGTCTTAATTGACCTTAGAAGGGTAGGGCCAAAATGTTGGCTTTCCTTGGAGCCCTCCTTTTTCTCTAATTTTGGTCTGCAAACTTAGGTTGTTAACCATCCAGAAGACAAGCTTATTGTTATTATCAAACGATTTAGGCTATCAAGCTTAACCTCACTATCTCACTGCATTTCAAACATCTTAGGCATAATAAGGAACAGGTATTTTTCATCAGGTATTGATATGTTGAACTTTAAGTCCCTACATAATATGATAAAAAAACATTTAAAAATTAGATTATATTTTAAAAATACGATAAAGAATTCTATACTTCTCATGTTTACACGTAAGTCCAAAAATCTCACAATATACAACCTTGAAGCAGGACAGTCCCACAATATTCCTTTTCCTGTCTCTCCTCATCTTTATTATTAAAATATTCTGTTAGCTGGGTTTGGTGGTACATGAGAGGCTGAGGCAGGAGGATGGCCAGGAGTTTGAGGCCAGCCCAAACTATGTAGTGAGACCCTATCGCCAGGAAGAAAAAAATGCAATACTCTCAACCTAGCCTCCCCACTTAAAGCTTGCCCTCCTTTCCAGGCAGCATTTTTGTTTTGTTTTGTGTTCTAATTTTGTATTTAGAACAGGGTCTACAGGGTCTCACTACACAGATTAGACTCATAGTGATCTTCCTGTTTTCAGCCCCAGGCAGTTTTAATGCTACAGTATTACTTTCCAGACAAAAACTTAAATCTGTTTTCTGCATCAGACCATTTGAAGGCAGCTCAGTAGGGTTAAGGCAGAAAAGCAAACTCTCTTCCTTGACCTGGGTCTCAGACCATGTCTGCAGCCGCGGTTCACGTGCTACTCTCTTGCTGCATGTAGTCGCTCACTTTGCTCCATCAGCTGAAGAGCCATCTTCATTTCTTCTTCCTATTCACGCTTATCTGTAAGATACATTTAGTTAATCTAGGGAAGTGTTCTCTGAGTTGGCACAGTGTCAGCCACTCCCGTAGTACCGTGTTCTTATCCCTCACAGTGCTGGGTCACTACTGCAACCCTAAAAGGTATCTTGGCCCCGGCACTTGGAGGTCGTCAAGGGAGATCTGACTGAATGCGTAAGTGAATTAGTGACTGACTATCCCTCAAGCTAAATTTTAGAATTACGCTTTCAGTGAAACTAGACCATTAATTCGGGGTAACATAATATCAAAAAATAGCATTTTCCATTTATTTAAATCTTAATTACTTTTGTATATTAAACATTTCCTATTAAAATCATCCTTTCATGGCATAAATGGAATCTAGCTGATTTATGTTTTTTGTTTACAGTACTGGAGATGGAATCTAGTAGGTTGCATTTTTATCTAGTTATAAAAGTATTCACCTACTTAGAATTTTACTATTAGAAAAATGTATGTTTTATAGCTGACATCTTAAATTAAAAGATGTTTACATAATTTTTTATCCATTGATGATTAACTTTTTATTATAAAATTGGGGAAAATTCTCCAGATTTTAGTATTCCTCGGGGTGGGACCAACTTGTGCCAGCCTCTGCCCATTTAACACATATCCTTGTTTGATAAAATCTTACAATGAACATCTGTTTGAAACTTGAAGCTTACACAGGTCTGCATCATCTTGTTACTTAAACCTAATTCCTGTAAGAAGTGTTTATTTCATACTGATGAAGAACCGAGTCTCAGGCACGCTGAGAGACGTCCATAGTCATTAAAGTACGAGACCGGGACCAGTCTCGATACTCAGGTCCTTGTTCCTTAAAAGCTCGCGCTGTCCCTCCCACGCCGTGCTGCTTCATGCTCTGCACATGCAACAGTCTGAAAGTGCTGAGTTGGATTCCAGGGAGTTAAAAGTGAAATATTCATAGACTATCACTTTTGTATATTTTTATCTTAATTATTTATATTTTTCTGTAGTATTTAAAATATCACCTTAACCTTTCTTGTAGGAACCTCCAGAAATTTAGCCTTTTTGGAGACATAAGTGTTCTACAACAGCAAGGAAGTTTGTCAAATACATACCTCAGCAAGGTGGACCCTGATGGCAAAAAAATTAAACAGTAAGTCTATAGTTCATAGAGAAGGTTATTTCAATCATAGTTCTAGCTTTTTTCTATAAAATTATGAGATAAGCAAAAGAGTAATGATTTTTTTGTAAAAGAACACATAATAATAATGAAGAAATACAGTAATCAGTATATGCCATTCCCTTTCCTAAATCAAATCAGAATAGCTTGCTGGATAATTACTGCTGCCTAAAATTGTTAATTTTTACATGCCCTTGCTATAACATAAGTTGTATGTGAACAGCTTTTTCTACCATATAGATATAAAATACTGTTTTCCTTAGATAACATTTTTGTGTTTAATATTTCTATATACTTAACATAATATTTTAATGTGAATTTTTTTTTTAATTTATTTATTTATTTATTTATTTAGTGTGTGTGTGGCCAGCTCAGCCCACCAGGGGGCAGGGCTGGCTGGCATGTGGTGCTGGGGGATTGAACTGCGGTCCCTGTGCTTTGCTTAGTTTAGCTTGTTCTAAGTAGGCGCTTTAGACCACTGAGCCATCTCACCAGCCCTTTAATGTGAATTTTAATGGTATTGTGAGGTGAATAGAAATTAAGTAATGAGGGAAAATGTATCTCAACATTACGTACCATTTATCACCTATTTCAAATATCATTGTTAAAAAATTAGAGCTGTTTGTCAAATCGTTAATGCCCTTGAAGTGGTTTTTGTGGGTGTGAAACAAATGGTGAGAATTTGAATTGGTCCCTCTTATTATAGTATTGAAATTAAGTCTACTTAATTTATCAAGTCATGTTCATGCCCTGATTTTACATACTTGTATCTATCAATAAACATTGTGATACCTGAAAAGAAAATTAGAGCTGTTTGTCAGATCACTCTGCCTTGTTTTCCTTATAGAATTCAGCAGCTGTTTGAAGAAATATTGAGTAATAGTAGGCAGCTAAAGTGGCTGTCCTGTGGATTTATGCTGGAAATAGTGACCCCAACATCACTGTCATCTCTCTCTAACTCCATTGCCAACACCATGGAGCACCTGAGTTTACTGGACAACAATATTCCTGGTAACAGCACTCTTATCACTGCAGTCGAACTGGAGCGATTTGTCAATCTGCGCTCACTTGCTCTGGACTTCTGTGACTTTACAGCTGAGATGGCGAGAGTCTTAACCGATAGCAACCATGTGCCTTTGCAGCGACTGTCTCTCCTGGTCCACAATGTTTCTGTGATGCACAAGTCTCTGGACAACATGCCCAACGATGAGCATTGGAAGGCCCTGTCACGAAAGAGCACTAGTCTCCGTGTCTACATCATGGCATTTGATATTAAAAGTGAAGACATGCTGAAGATCCTGAAACCCAGTATACCACTGGAGAGGATTCACTTTGACAGCTACGTCACGTGTGTTTCAGGGGCTATTGTGGATCTCATATCCAGGCAGTATGACAAGTTTCTCACTCATTTTATATTGATGAATGATGTGATCGATACGTCTGGCTTTCCAGATCTTAGTGACAACAGAAATGAAGATCCATTGGTTTTATTAGCATGGAAGTGCACAAAGCTCTCTCTCCTAGCAATTCATGGTATGTAATCTTATTTACTATAATATGCTGTGAACATTATATGTAATATTGTTTATGGCCATAAAAAGATGGCACTGACTCTGTGACATTAAGACATCTTATAATACATTGATACGTATATTCTTATGCTTATAACTTTGTAAAATACATCACTTAGAAACTGAGTGATAGGGCCAGCCAGATAGCTCCGTGGATTAAAGCACCTGCTTAGGCAAACACAGGAACCAGGGGTTCAATCCCCAGCCTGCCATGCAAGCCCCGCCTGTACTAGATGGCAGTTGAGACTGGGTGTGATGCGTGTGCTTGTAATCCCAGTGCTTCGGAGGCTGAAAAACAGGATGATCACTGTGAGTCTGATCTGTGTAGTGAAACCGTATAGACCTGGTATTAAATACATTTAAAAAAAAGAAAGAAATTGAGTCATACCACAACCCTGAGCAGTCTGCTCCAGTTTCCCTCTTAATCTTTGTCTTCTTTCATCTATTTCACACACACACAAACCATTTGAAATTAATTCACGTAAGGAAACATACATGCCTGCAGTATTATTTCTTGTAATCATAAGACCCTCTGAAAAGTATTAACACAGAAGGAAAGAAAAATATTTTTTGTGTTTACTGCCTCATCTTTTAGGGTTCAGAATTGGAGTGAGTGTGTGTGTGTGTGTGTGTGTGTGTGTGTGTGTGTGACTGAGTTTCACTGGCTTGAACTCCCTTTGTAGCTCACTTGCAGGCTGGCCTTGAACTCACAGTGATCCTCCTGTCTCAGCCTCCCAAGTGCTAGCCTGGACAGTTCTAAGACATTAAGGTATTAGTTTGTATGAATTTTTAAGAAAATGATTCCATTGATTATGCTTACTTCTTAGTGGGGCCATTCATCTTAACATGCACTGCTCTTGTTTGAATAAAGTTGTTATTCTGACAAATTAAAAGAACATTTTATTTTTTCTGATACTTAAAGACAGAAGCTAGTCTGTAAGACTGTCTTAAACTTGTTAGCTCTGTTTCATTATTTTTGAAACTTTTTAGCTTACATAGGTGTGGAAATGAATGTGTATTGCTTTTCATATTTTGCTTTATAATTTGGCGAAACATCAGAGGTAGTATGAAAACAATACTTTCTTTTTTTTTTTTTTTTTTTTTTTTTTTTTTTTTTTTTTTATGTGTGTGTGTGGCCAGCTCAGCCCACCAGGGGGCAGGGCTGGCTGGCATGTGGTGCTGGGGGATTGAACCGAGGTCCCTGGGCTTTGCTAACCTTGTTCTAAGTAGGTGCTTTAGACCACTGAGCCATCTCACCAGCCCCGAAAACAATACTTTCAATACTGCAAGTATTTTTAAAAAAACTAAAAGTGTTAAGTAAAATGGGGATTGTAAAAGTGACACATTATCTAAAAGTTCATTTAAGTAAGTATTTTCTGTGGGGTTTTTTAGACAGGATGTCACTGTGTAGCCCAGGCTGGCCTTGTACTCGTTATACTCCTCCTCTGCCTTAGCCTCTCAAGTGCTGGGATCATAGACTGTGCCCCCCACATGGCCCTAAAGTCAGTCTTTTTTCCCCTTTTCTAACAGGTTTATTTTTACCCTAAAAAGATCTATTAAATCAATCTTTTTTAAGATCCTTTTTTTCCCTCTCCCCTAAGAAATAACATGTTTCTAGGCATGTTTGAATCTTCTCAAGAAGCACAGAGTGAGGAAAAGACTTATGAACGAGACAAAATGTAAGGACTATTGTCTTCTGCTTGCTTTCAAGGTTACACGGTGTGGGCGCACAACCTCATTGCCATTGCTCGTCTCCGTGGCTCTGATCTAAAAGTGCTTGAAGTCACTGAAGAAAGCATTGATTTTGACCAAGGTGAACTGGCTGACCAGGATGTGGACCCAGTACATAACCTTATCGAGCAGGTATCCCTTGGCCTGGGTCAGCCTTGGCACGCAGTCATGGACATCGAGTCCCTCAGTGTCTTCACTGAACCAAATCGTCATTTTTACAGAGAGATGCAAACCTTCAGTGAAGACGTTTAGCTTTTTTTAAATGTACAATTCCTGTGGTTACATATGCAAGTAGGGTCCCATTATTTTTTTTTTCAGTAGTGTGAATTAATCCCTTTGTGCTGTGTTTAATCAGTATTAGCTTTATAGAATGATATATGTATATTCTACTTCTTGATCAAAGAACGTAGTCGGGTATTGGTTTAGAAGTTCAAAGTGACATTGTATAGGGCTTTCACGGTTAATAAAATCCTTACCAGACCTTAAGGACATACAACCGAAGATTGTCTGAGGTTGCTGGCTAACTTTGTTTTTCACTGAGTTACTCTGCCTTTTTGATATTTTTATTCTTTGTGTGTCAGAGTTCAGAGCTCAGGAGCCAAAATATTTTTATACGTATGTGTATATATATATATATATCCATAGCCTGGTGGATTTGTATGCAATGCACTGCATCTATGTATTCCAGCAGCATTTCATTAATTTGATTTGAAATGGAAGAAAGATACTATGGTCCCAAATGGTTACCTTTAATGGAAAGCCAACTAACTTTCATTACCTAGATAATAGTTCATATCACCAGTTACCATGGTGGATTTCATATAGTACTAGAGTAGAACATTGCTTAATCCATTTTTTAATGCATTTACATAAACATGAATACTCAAACTGTTGGATTTTTTTATTAACTATATCTGACATAATTTTACTCATCCATTACATTATACATTGAGTTAGCTTTCCAGCCCAGATTTCAAGTAGTGGAGGAAGAAAGAAGCTATTCCAGGGTAAAACCTCCGGAACAAAATCAAAGTCGAGTTGTGAACACACATGCTTAAAAACATTAGTCGTGAAATCCCTTGCAACGAGTCACTGGATTTTTCTCTGTCAGCACGCATGTCAGCTGCCAAAGAATAGACTTAAATGAAGTGCCCACATGCTGGCAGGGGCCGGCCCACTCTGGCCAGCCAGATACTGCTAGATTGTAATATTTAAGGTCGAATTTCGACCTGTGGTACACAGCTGTGCTGTGGCTCAGTCAGCAACCTCAACTCTGAAAAAACAAAAAAAAAAAGAAAAAAAAAAAAAAACCATGCACCTGTTTCACTGTGAATAGTGAATGTAAAGGAAAGAAAGGAAAACCTGAAAGCTTGTTCTATCATAGGTATGAGCTGCTATTATACATGAAGAACATTCCATGAAGTATGTTTTAAAACCTTGTTATATCTGAGAGGCTTTAAAAGCCAATTTAACTGTTTCAGGGCAACCGCGGTACAGACGTGGTCTCTGTGAGACTTCCACCTGACCCAGTTTTAAGTGGTACGAATGTTGTGCATTTAACGTTAAAGGACAGTCTGCAATAATAAAGTAAGTAGCCAACGTGGGTGCCCAGCAGTGCTGAGACCTGGCTGCTCTATTGTAAGCTTTGGAAACACAATTTATGCAACAGATGTCCAGATATGATTCTATTTATGGAAAAAGTTTATATGTTTTACAAATGGTTTTACCATCTTATATTAAATGACCTTCTGACAGGTGTGCACTGTTTTGTCTCCAGTGAGCACATACCATGCGGATTTTATATGTACATCAGTAGTGTGAATCCACTGGCACAGTGTGTGTAAATGCCAGATGTGGTGAGATTTTATCTTGTATATGTAATCAGATAAAATAACTCCTGACAGAAACCTTAAGGAAACCAGCGGAATGTTTGACCTGATGACTGATGTTGTATGGTTTATGTTAAATGTATATTCTTTTAATCAATGAATAAAGCATTAAAAAGTGATCATTGTAATATATTTTATTGTATATGAAGCATGAAAACTTTTATTAGAGTTAAATAAACTTCAGTAACCCCTATATTGTGTATAATCATATCTTAGCTGCTATTGTATTCTTAGTGCAGCAAAGCTGAAACTTGGGAATATATCAAAAGTGCGACTGAAATTAAGTTTTTTAATTCACTTTGGCAAGACAAGCTAAAAGCAGACATGACCAGTTGGCACAAAATTATAGAGTACTATGCATTTGGAATACATTGTTGATACAGTAAACATAGACTACAAGGATTTTTTAATTGCCTATACTATATACAGAAATGCTTAGATTTGCTCACATTAAATACTTCATAAATCCTTTTATTTGGTTTGATATTCTATTCTTACTTGTTAAAACAGACAGCTCTCATGGGAAAGAAAGTGCCTCCTTTTCTGTCTTCTGTCTTCCCTTTTTAATCATTCCAGACTGTTCACTCTTTCAGGCACTGCCTCATCTTGGGATAGTCCAGTGTTCAAAAAGAATTGTCTTTAATACATATCAATTCCATATTTCTCAGAAGTATCCAGCACCAGGGCCAGGGAGATAACTCTGTAGAATAAGCGCTTGCCTGGCAAGCGCATAGTCCTGAGTTCAATCCCTGGTACCACAAAAAAAAAATTAAAGTTTAAAAAAAAAAAAAGTATCCAGCACCTTTGAATGAATCCACATGTTTACATATCTAAAATGTACCCTATACATGTGAAAAGAGGTCTGCTGTGTGTGCAGCATACACATTCAGGCTGCTGTGGTAAAGCACTAAACTCAGAGGTTCGCCATCTCTGGTCCTACCTCTGCTGAATCACAAGCCCCTCTTTTGGATTGTTTCTTCATCTCTAAAACTACACTTGGCTATCTGACTTTCCACTGGAAAGTCTCAAATGTTCCTAGCCCAACCATAGACAAAAGATCATCTTTGAACAAAAGTATTAAAAAGTTCGAACACAGCTGATTAAACACCTTCCAGTTACCCCAGCCCCACCCCCAGAACAGTAGCTGGGGAGCTGGTAGGGCAAGGCTGCAGGGGAGCACTGTGCTTGTAGTTCAACACAGTAACATTGCAGCTAGCTTGCTTCTGCCTTGTGACATCAGAGTGGGTCTCTATGAAGCCAGTCACAGACACGTTGCTGAGGACATATAAGCAGGTGCTAGTAATTTCCAATGATCATACCATAATGTCTAAAGCAGAGCTTCCAAACCTCATATCCTGACACAGAAAATACTGTACAAAATATATAAACTACAAGAAGTTGGAACCAAACATGCCACGTAGGGGGCCAGTGAGATGGCGCAGTGGAATAAGCACTTCCCTGGCAAGCGCAAGGGCCTCGGTTCAATCCCCGGTTCCGCAAAAAAAAAAAAAAAAGTCATACAAGTGATGAAAAAATAAAATGCAGAGGATTTGAGGCAAAAAGTTGAATTTGTACAGAACTTTTCAAATAAAATTTTGTCAAATGTTTTGACAGCCCCTAAATTTTAATACTGCCTTGAGAAATACACAACAAATAGCTAATAAATATATTCAAAATACTTAGTAGTGCCTGACATGGTGGCACACACATCTATTCCCAGCACTCAGGGAGGCTAAAGCAGGAAGATCACTATGAGTTTGAGGCCAGCCTGGACTACAGAGTGAGTTCAAGGCCAGCCTAAATTTTTTGATAAGACACTGAGACCAAAAAAAGATGAAACTAATGAAATTAAGAACAAAAATTGTTTGAAGTGGGATCTCCCAACATTGCTTAAGTTGGCTTTGAAGTTCTGCATGATCTTTAATTTTTCATTTTTTAATCGTTTGAGGGCCATTGCTTTGATACAGGCTAATAATCTGGGCTGCTGGTTATGAAAAGAAGATGGATGGTGAATAAGTTTTCAGGACAAATCATCTTTTCTGAAAGATTAAAACAAAATTAGGGCAAACTGCACCGTGTGCTGGCAAGGAAAAGACATTGGGAACACATTACTTACAACCGGGGCTGGCAAGGCCAAGAGCCAGGTGCCGGCCAGTCTAGCAGCCAGCGAGAGCCCGGCCTCCGTTCCAGGAGGACGCCTTAAGCACTACTTGCTCTCAAGGGAACAGGGGCAGCAGAAGCAAGCAGCACACACATTCCCACAGGACCTTTACACAGTGGCTGTACATCCAGTCATGAGAACCGAGTCCGCAGGACCTGAGCTCCTCTTCTAAGCCCTACCCCCAACGCTATTATATTGGGGTGTGAGCTTTTTACCTAGGAGTTTTGGAGGGGACACAAATAATAACAGCGATCAGAGAAGGGGAGAATGTTGAATGCTGGCTAAATCTAAAATGTAACCAAGGCAAGAAGATTATAGCTTTCCATTCATTGATGGGTGAGTGTATCACAGGAGCCTTGAAAGAGGCCCAACAGTTTGCTGAGACTAGTTTGTAGGAAACTGTAAATTGACTTAAAAATAAGTCATTGTGGAGGCTAAGGAAGAGAGATTAGTTAATGGGTATAAACTTTAAAATAAGTAAGTTTTTGAGATCTAATGCATAATACAGTGAGGTGTACTGACATGTTAATTAGCTTGTTATCAACTTTAGCTATCTGAACTTCAATATAAAAAGCTCTGGAGTCAGATACATCCCTCACTGCTACTCAAAGGTATCACAATCGCAAAAGCCATCTCGTTGCTTCAGCTCACTGCCTTTGCAGCTAATTTTATGACCTGTTCATCTGGTTTCTCAGTTAACAGCAGATCAGGAGGGCAGGCAGCGGGCCACTGAGAAAGGTCAGAAGGAAGGGCTTCCAAGCCTCAGGCCTGGAAAGCTGTGGAATAACTTCAGCACCCATACCGGGCTTGAAATATAACACAGTGCCAAATATGTGTACTGGTCCTGAGCCAGTATGAAAATGCATTGTGTTCAGAACAGGTGTACTGTTGATGGAGGAATTGTTTGAGAAACATTTCCACACAAGATAACTAAAAGTAAAAGTTTGTAATTGAAAGAATGAGTTTTAGTTAATCAAGAAATATTTAGTTACATTGGGGGTTTTCTGAATTAGTTCAAAATACAACTTGCATTAAATACATAGTGTGTTCAGCACTGTTTGGTGCACTTCACAAGTCAGCTTCACATATAAGGAAGCTGACACACAAGGTTAATAATCTTGTCCCAAGTCATAAAACTAGTAAATGTTTGTGTAGAATTTAAATATGGGTTATAGGACTCCTACACTATACCATCTATGTGCTGCCACTGTTAAATACTATAACTAGTTTTGTGGGAAAGAACTTTCTAGTTAGGTTTTAGAACATATAGATATGAAAGTACCATCCACATTCATATACCAGCATTATTGCTATATTTCTTGAAGTACATCTGTTCGTGGTGTATTCGTATGTATCACCAACTCTTGTATCACAAAGTTAGTCATACAGGTGTGTGAATTTATATCTAACATTCAAAGTATGTGTATATGTAAAAGCATGATGGAAATATGAATTGCTATATAATGTGTATTTTTATCCTAATTTTTCATAAGAAAAAGTATGCAATAGTTACATGATAATCTTACCTACTCTCAGACAACTAAACTATACAGTTACAATAGGTGCTACCTTGTACTTGTATTAGTTCTATAAAAAAGAACTATACTTGGGGCTGGTGAGATGGCTCAGTGGTCTAAAGCACCTACTTAGAACAAGCTTAGCAAAGCAAAGGGACCACGGTTCAATCCCCAGCACCACATGCCAGCCAGCCCCGCCCCCTGGTTGGCTGAGCTGCCCCCCCCACACACACATAAATAAATAAATAATTTAAAAAAAAAAAAGAAAGAACAATACTCACATAAAGTGACATATTTTTGGAAATCTTCAAGGGTTTAAGATGTATGTAATTTTGGTCCTTTATAAATATTACTTTAGCAATATTCATGAACTGACGAATGGAGATTTTTCAAGGGCTAGCTGATCACCTCAGAGTTTTGTTAATGCATTAGCTGGTAACTTCTAAATTAATAAAATCAACAGACTACCCTGGCATTTTACCAGATCAAGGTAAATGTCTTTCTCCAAAATAAGAAAATTAAGTTTTATCTTTTAAAACTATAAATACTAGTAAATGTACTGTAATTTTATTAAAATAATAGGTAGCTGGGTGTGATGGTGCACACCTATAATCACAGTACTTGGAAGGCTGAGGCAAGAGGATTGATTCAAGTTTGAGGGTAGCCTGGGCTACATAGTGAGTTCAAGAAGAGCAGTATGAACTACATAGTATGACCCCTCAAAAAAAATTTTTTTAAGAGTAATATAAACAGGAAAGTTTTTACTGTGAGTTGAACCCCTTTGTTAAAGGAAGGAAGTAAATTATTTGACCCCCAGAGGCCAAAACCATGCCAAGCTAGGTTTGGCTCATTAAGAAGATTAACAAAGGGCCTGGTAGTTTTCAGTCATTTCATGGACATTATTTTTACCCTCTGAGATGTAACACAAAAGTTTCTAGGCTAAATTTTTTAATGATCTCTATCTACCTGATGTAAGCTCTGTGTAAGTTTTCACAACTTGTCTCTGTTCACTCCTTGGGAATTCCAGCCACCACTCTCACTGTTCCCATTTTGCAGTGAGCCAGGTGTTTCTGGAGCCAGAATCTGCTTCATGAGCTCCACACCCAACCTTCTCTCTGGTATCTCCACTTAGTGTCTAAACAGGCCTCTCCAACTCAGCAGCACTGCAGCGCAAAATGCTAACCTCATCCCCTCAGAAATGTCCTTCTCATTTCTCCCATCACCATAAACAGCATCATAATTCACCCAACTGTCCCCCGAAACCTCAGTCACTCCTGACCGCTTTCAGTCACCCCCTACGTGTAGCCTATTAGCAAATCCTGAGCTGTACCTTCAAAATTCATCCCCAAGCCATCCAATTCTTCCTGCTCCACCGCTTCTTGCCACCAAGATTTCAGTTCTGTTTCCTTAGTGTCTTATTCTTTTGCTTCCATTCTT